AAAGACAGGCTGCAAATTTCTTTTCAAATGTTAAGGGAGAGTTGGCGTCACTATCAGAAAACCGTTAAAGCTGCCAAATGTAAATTCTTCTCTGATTTAATTGTCTCCAACTCCCACAACCCCTGAGTTCTTTTCTCCACCCTGAACTCAGTTCTACACCTCAGTGAGCCTTCACCTCTGGAAGCCTCAACTGAGCTGTGTGAAAACTTCCTCCATTTCTTTTTAGAAAAAGTGGCAAACACCCGGGCACTCATTTCTCCACCAGCTCATGATCTGTCCATCCCATCTCAGTGTGTGGCTGTGTTTGACCACTTTGAGCCCATCTCTCTGTCCTCTCTGGAGCAGGTAATGTGCAGCATGAAGCCATCTGGTTCCCCCTTTGATGTGGTCCCCCCTCGACTACTAAAGGAAGTTTTTCCTACCCTGGGTCCTTTTATCCTCGCTATTCTGAATAGCAGTTTATCCTCAGGTGTGGTGCCAAAGACTTTTAAACATGCTGCTGTCCAGCCCCTCCTGAAAAAACCTAACCTTGACCCCTCAGTCATGTCCAACTTCCGGCCTGTCTCCAGACTCCCATTCACCTCTAAACTACTGGAAAAAATTGTGGAGTCTCAGTTGAAACAGTTTTTGGGGGATCACGCTATCCTTGAGTTATTCCAATCTGGCTTCAAATCTCTCCATAGCACTGAAACTGCTCTACTGAAGGTTTTTAATGACATTTTCATATCCACAGACGCAGGTGATTCTGTGCTGCTTGTCCTATTGGACCTTACATCTGCTTTTGACACCATCGACCACAACATCCTCATTTCTAGACTGGAGCAGTGGGTGGGCATCACAGGGTCAGCCCTTAAATGGTTTGGGTCCTACCTCTCTGACAGAAACTTCTGTGTCAATATCAAAGTTTTTAGTTCGGCATCGACAGCACTCCAGTGGGGGGTACCGCAGGGGTCCATCCTCGGTTCCCTTCTCTTTTCTTTATATCTGCTGCCACTAGGTGCTATCTTCCGCAAACACGACATACCCTTTCATTTCTATGCCGATGATTGCCAAATTTACTTCCCCCTGAGGCACAGAGGCACACGCTCTATTCAGCCTCTTCTTGACTGCCTGGCTGACATCCGGGACTGGATGGCTTTAAATTTCTTAAGCTTCAATGAGAAGAAGTCTGAAGTCATGCTGTTCCATCCCAGTGGCTCATTCATGAACCATGACATTGACCTTTTCTCTCTAGCCCCGCTAGAGAAACAAAAGGTCACTAATCTGGGGGTGATAATGGACCCGTCCTTAAAACTCAACAGTCACGTAAACATGATGGTCAAATCCTGTTTTTTTCAGCCGAGATGGCTGTCTAAGCTGAAGCCTATACTCTCCAAAAAGAACCTTGAGACAGTGATCCACGCCTTCATAACATCTAGGCTTGATTACTGCAATTCACTTCTGTTTGGAATCAGTCAGTCCTCCATTGCTCGTCTACAACTGGTCCAAAATGCTGCAGCCTGATTTTTAACTGGTACAGGCTATAGAGAGCACATCACGCCAGTTTTGGCCTCCCTGCACTGGCTACCCATTCACCTTCGGATCCATTTCAAAATTCTCATGTATGTTTTTAAATCACTGAACAGTTCCGCCCCATCCTATCTCACTGATCTTCTGCAGCCATATGTCCCACCGCGCTCTCTGAGGTCAGCAGACCAGATGCTTCTCTCAGTCCCAGAAACCCATCGTAAGCTCAGAGGTGACAGGGCTTTCTCTGTCGCAGGTCCACGACTGTGGAATGAGTTGCCACTGAGTGTCCGGCAGGCTCCCACAACACACTCTCAGTCTTTAAGTCTCGCTTGAAGACCCACTTCTATTCGCTTGCCTTTAACACGGTGTGATTTGTTTTGGTCCGGTCTGTTCTCTACTCTGTTGGCCATTTTAGTTAGCTTCTGCTGCTATTTGTATCTGTATTTCTATTTTATGTTTTCCTGTCTGCTGTGCATGTTTGGTTCTTTTGTACAGCACTTTGGTTGGCCTTGTTGCTGTTTTAAGTGCTATATAAATAAATTGGTATGGTATGGTATGGTATGGTATCATCAATGTTCTCTTAGTAATACATCTGTTTGTATTAAAGTAAAGATGTGTGAAATGTTTGAGAGAGATACATCCCAGAGACGGTGAATGTTGCAAAGCATGCTGGGTAGGAATTATGTGTTTAATGTTTTTGAAAGTTTATGATGTCTGAGTGTGAAAAATGGCTTTTTCATTTATTTTGTCATTCTCTTTTGGTTTGTCATTTATGTTTGTCTTTTTTATTGGCTGTAAACTGACACCATGATGCAGAGACTGTTTGCAGAAGGTATGAGGGGGAAACACTAAGAGGATATCACCGGGTGGTACTTACCTTTGCCTGGGTCTGCAAAGCATAACATAACATCTTTCTGTGTAAATCACCTGTACATGTTTAGTGTGGAGCACTTCCTTTAAAAAAAATTAGCGGCCTTGAATTTACTGGATTAAAATTTAGCAGAAGCTAATCCCGCTAAAGGTTTTTAAAGTTAACAAAAGCACTAATCCGTTAAACGGAACGTTAGTTCTGCTATTAGCCGATTACCAGAACCGTGCCCACCACTGCCTACACCCATTTGAAATGTGGAAGGGATATGTCGGTCCAAGCAGTTGTACTCCAACTTTAAAATGTACTGCCCCTTTTTTGCAACCAAGACTTAACCAATGCATAAAAAAAAAATTATATATATATATATATATATATATATATATATATATATATATATATTAATAAACATTGCTTTTAGTTCAGTGAAGGGCTTTTAAAATATTTTGTGTTCTACATCATCTTCTTCTTCTTTCAACTTTTCCCTTTTCAGGGGTCACCACAGAGAGTCATCCTCCTCCATCTCACTCTGTCCTCTGCATCCTCCATCCTCCAACTGTCTCCATATCCTCTCTAACTGCAATGTTTCCCCTACCATTATCCAAGGAGGGCACCCTGCCCTGTCAACAGAACCAAGCACCCTACCTGCCAAATCCCCCCAACCCCACTCAGCACCGTCATTTCCAGACAGGAAGCGGAGATTAACTTCTCAGCTCAGACTCCAAACTGTGAACAATACAAATGTAGCACTAAGCTAATCAAACCCCATCTCTCACGCGCAATATAAACGTAGCGCTAAACTAACCAACCCCCGTGCGCAATGCAGACGTAGCGCTCTGTTTCTCATGACCAACCTGTGCCTCTGTCCGATAACAACTGCCACCACTAAAGTAGACCTCCACTTCTCTCACCTCAACATCTCCCCCCACACACAAGAAAATCCCCAAAGAGACGAGCACCCTTTCAAGAGAAACACTGAACTGCATACATATATCTCCTCGTTGGCCTTCCTCTTTGTCTTCTTCCTAGCAGTTGCATTTCTAACATCCTTCTACCAGTATACCCACTGTCTCTCTTCTGGACATGTCCAAACAATCTCAATCTAGCCTCTAACTTTATCTCCCAGTTGTTCAACCAGTGCTGTACCTCTGATGATCTCATTCCTAATCTTATCCATTCTTGTCACTCCTAAGGAGAACCTCAACATCTTAATTTTTGCCGCTTCCAGTTCTGTCTCCTATCTTTTTGTCAGTGTCACTGTCTCCAGACCTTCACTGCCACCTTTTTATCGCAAATCACTCCTGAAACTTTTCACCATTCACTCCATCCCGCCCGGATACACCGTTTCACTTCTTTACTACCTTCCCAATCTTCCTGGACAATTGCCACCCCCCCCCCCCCCCAATTACTTGAAGTCCTGCATCTTTGTGACCTCTGATGTTTGTAGCCTGACTGTTCCACCTGCCTCCCTCACATTCAGATCTTTCCAAAATGTATCTTTCTCCTCCACATGATATTCAACCTGTAGAGCATAAACACTGACAACATTTAGCAACAGACCTTCTACTTCTACCTTTAGACACATCACCTATCTGACACTCTTTTTACCTCCACTACATTCTTTCCTAAGTCCTGTTTCAGGACTACCCCTACTTCATTTCTATTTCTATCCACACCATGGTAAAACAGTTTAGGCTCTGCTCCAATGCTGCGAGCCTTGCTGTCCATCCACTTGATTTCTTGGACACATAAAACATCTGCCTTCCTTCTCTGCATCATGTCAGCCATATTTCCACCTTTGCCTGTCATTGCCCCCAACTTAGAGTAGCCACCCTCAGTCCTACATTCTTGACTTTTGTCTTCTCCTGTCTCCTGACACGTTTCTCTCCTCGTGGTCTTTGACTGTGTTCTACATCTTCTTAAGCATGTATATTTTTATGTGTGTATGGATTATATGGATATGTGTATGGAAATATGATTATATCTTTCATATACCATTTTTTTAATCGCACTTTTATTTGCACTTTTCTAGCACTTTGTGATAATGTATTTGTGGAAAGTGCTATATAATCACATTTTACTTACTAACTGAAAGAACATTCTTTGGAAGACAAAGTGGAAATGTTTGCACAGCACCATGTTTGAAGCAAATCGAATACTGTACAGAAACATCTGATGCAAAGCATTAAGTAGAGTAGTACAAAGTATATATATGATTTATTTTCCTTTTTTCAAACTGTATTATTAGCTTGGTTTTCTCAGTAACAACTGACTTTATTAAAAGGGCAAAACAATTTTGAAGTATATTTTAGCTTAGAATGTTTGGCGTCATGTTGATTTCAAACCATTTTCCTTAATTTATTAATAAAATGTAAGTTTTCAGTGTTTTTCTGAGAGCAATGGAAGTCAGTTGGCAGTTTTCCAAGCCTGCCTTAAATCCTCAGGCAGATTATGCTCAAACATGTAGTAGAAAGTGCTTCAAACCAATAATCACCAGTTCAATGAGCTCTTTTGTTCATAATAGGTACCTGAAAAATGTGTCTTATGAAAACATAAATAAGTCTAAAAACTTGATTTTTGCATCAAGGAACTTTTAAGCAACTTGTCTTCTGTCTTTCGTCAGATCAAATATGCTGGTTCAGATACAGACTTCAGCGCGTCGCCAGCTTTTTGTAAACAGATCCGGAGGATCGAATGCGAGGAGCAGAAGATTATTGGTACACAAACCCCGCTGCAGCAACTACTGGAAGGCCTGATTGCAGACAAAGAACTTCCTCTTAAGGACAAGAGGAAAAGACTTAAACAGGTATCTTTATGGGTGTTACAATAAAAGTAAAAATAGCATACCACGTACTCATTTAACTTTGTTTTGGTCCTATACTGAAGATGCTGTTCATAGAGACTGTACATCTACAATTTTGTGATACATGTTTTTTCCTTGTGTTGTACAACAAGCACTATTATTAGTTTACTGTGATGTTGTGAGATTGCCGTTAAAAGGAGGTAATCTCCTGAAATCATCAAAACCAGCAGTCTCGTGCACAAATCATTTGGACCATCTCTCCTGTCACTTTCCTTGGGGGCTTCTGTACGGAGCGTCCCCTCTGTACCTGTAGTTCATATGTCCTGCTCTGCATGATGAACGAGTCACATGTAAAGATTTGGTGTGAGGCACTGCGTGCTTCTGACTCGGTCTGGACTCAAACCTCAGAACTAGAGTGATTATTACTCTAGTAATACCATCCTGATATTATTGGTACTGAGCCATCTATGTGTGCTACCAATATTTTAAATGCACATAACTTTATGCAACATGGCCACACTTCCTCAAGGGACATCAGGAGTGGCAGAATAAACATTCGTGATCTAGTCACTGAACAGACTTTACACCAGAATAATTGAAAGATTTTAACGCTTAAGAGCAGCAGTAAAAGGAAATTGTGGGACACCTGCAGCTGCAAAAACTAGTTTGCCACAAGTCCTTTGTGTGTGCAAGCAATTTTCACTGTTGTTGGGTATTTTAACAATTAAAAGCCGAAATATAAAGCGTTACAGAAAATTTAAAAGTAAGGAATTACAAAAATAAAAACTGGTGGAACAGTGGTTAGAGCTGTTGCCTTTAGGTGAGCAGGTTGCAGGTTTTCCTCCTGCCCTGGGGCCTATCTCTTCTCCCTTTGCACGTATGGGTTTTCTCCAGGTAATCCAGTTTCCTCCCACAGACCAAAAACATACGTTAGGTTCGTTGGCAAATTGTCCCCGAGTGTGAGTGAGAGAGTCAATGGTTGTTTGTCTCTGTGTCCCTTTAATGGACTTGTGACCTGTCCAAGGTGTCCCCACCTCTCCCACATTGACTCCTGGTGATAGACACCAGTTCCCTGCAACCCAGAAAGAAGAAGCGAGTAAATAAAACGGATGTAAAAACTTCACATCTACTTGAAACTAGTGTCAAAATAAGATTAGCTAAAACAGTGTCAGCTCTCATTTATTTAAGTGTTGTAAACAACATTCACAGCAGTGTGCAAATACTGACAATGGTGCACCTGCATCTATTCTAATCTTCAATAGAAGGAAAAACAACACTAACTTGTTTGTATTTATTTGCAACTAAAGATAATAATCTTGGAAGATTCTCAGCTCAGGATGCAACAATAAATCCTGTGAAAATCTCTGGAAATGGGCTTTGAGTGGAACCAGGAGGCAAACACGCAAAAACATGCCTGGCTCTGTTTATACCTGGTGCATCATGGGTAGTAGGGCAGCAGTCAAACAGCAATGAACATACTAATTCATACTGTGTCCACATTAATAAACCATCTGATCCACATTCTCATACCAGTCTGGATGTAAATGTGTTCTGGGACACACTGAAGCACCACCTGCCCGTCTTCAAGTTTTCAGATTAAAAGCATGTTTTCTTTATCAAAAAAGACTGAGCCCAAACTCATAAAATGTGTCACTCATAAAAAATAGTTTGTCCCTTGTGGTAATTTCTGCTGAAACTGAGTAAAGCAGCCGTGAGTGCCAAAGTTCTACGTCTTTCCTCCAAGTCCTGAGAGTCACCTTTTAATGGGCTTCACTCCGATAATTTATGAGCGCACTGTGCATATTTAAGCTTTTCACAGCTGGAGAGGTGTACAAGCAGTGGTGCTTAATCCTCACCAGGTTGCAACAGTACCATACGATGAACAAATACCCTGCTCTGGAGCCTTTCTTCTTCAGAGTTTAGGATTAGACTGTAAAAAGCATCATTACTTCACAGATTATTTTCAGACATCAAACTCTTTTTGGTTCCATTAACTGAACAAAAGTCCATCTGAATATCTGATCGTGACACCAAATTCCCAGAGTTAGGCACCACTTTCAGATAATTTACATATACATCATAGAATCACATATTCTGTAAGATAAGTAAATTTTTTTCCTCACTTTCAGTTCCAGAAGTCCTACCCAGAGGTCTATCATAACAGATTTCCTACTGAGGAAAGCAGATCTGCTGTCATTCCAGAGAAAACGCCACGCCTCAAACCTCATCTCATGTTCTTCAACCTCAAGAAACCTCTCCAGCCTTTTCAGAGAAGCTGGAGCTTCAGGGCATGACCTGCCACAACTGACATGTTTCTGCCTCAGGCTACAAGCACATCTCAGCTGGGTTAAGTCATGAGAGCTGGACAAGTGTAGCTGGAACAGTGCTCTAATGAGGTAAAAACTCCAACAGTCTCTGTTTAGGTTTTATTTATTTTTCATTCACCGTGGAAGAAGGGCTGAACGAAATGACCTAAAACTTATATTTGGAGGGTTTTATCTTGTAACATGGCATATATTGCAGTATTTTAATAACTATTAAGTTAAATGTAATGCTGTTATGCACTGGCAAACTGATTTAAATCCTTCTGACCAATCACTCGGGTCTCAAATGGTGACAACAGACCAGAGCTCAAACACACAAAACCACAAATCGAGCACCCAGCAGGTCAAATTAGTGTTCAACAACTAGTAATAAGAAAACAATCATAGACTACTTAAGCTTACAATCAGTACCACACATCATTTGATCATTGTACTTATTAGCAATTTCTTCTGATTCAAGATGATCTCCTAGGACAGTTGCGGTAATGGCATTTCTTGTTTTGTGCCAAACATCTCAAATGAGTTTTCTTACAGAAAATGTCAAATTTCTCTTTTTTGTTGTCATATTCTTATGACAAAGGGGAAAACGATAGCTTTCAGAAAAGTGGAGTAATTTTGATAGCTACAGGTGATAGCTTTCATAAACGTCTTGAATCAAAGGAGGATTCAATTCTAATAAGTTTGTTCAACATTTCCTGTGAAGTCTGAACCAACAGATGTGGATCCACTGCTGGTTTTCTTTAGAAACAAGTCATTCACCTCTTAACTTGCCATTGACGTTTTTCAGCTCCTGTCAGGTTATCTTACCATTTCTCCTGATACATGAATATCGTGGACAATAGATTTTGGGACAGTTGTGTTTTCTGCTCTAAGTGATGCATTAGAAGCAAGTGGGAAAAACAAAACTCCCAGTGAGTTGGACACAAATAATTAAAGTTGGTTCAGTTTATTATTTCAAAAACAAGATACTGATCTCTACATATCATAATATTCAGTTTAACAAGCAATGACACTGACTTTCACTCGTAAGAAGATAAAAACAGGATAAAATAATCATAAAAATAAGAAAAGCTTAATAAAAGATACATTTACAAAGACAGAGACAATTTAAAAAGAACCTGGTTTGTAAAAAGGCAAATAGTTAAAAACATTTGTACTCAATATGTGCCGTAAAGTCACTAAAGAGATTGCACATAGTAAAGTTTTTTTTAGGCATGATCCCACATTGCCTATACTTTTAAGGCAAATATGTGCCAAAATACGCACTACTGTAATGGTGCTGGTCACAGTTTTGGTACTCATCAGAGCCCATCCTAATTGTATTTAAATATAAGTTTTGGTACTATTAAACTTTTGAAAAATTCAATGGATTAGTTAATTCAAACCATCTAATAAATGCAATATATTGCAGCTTTTTGTCCCGTCGCAGAGCTAAGTGGGGAACTAGAAACACCATCCACCCCGTTCGTCTTGTGAGCTGAATAACATGAAAAATAAGTGGGGTCCTGACTTCCATTTTGGTTTGGCTACATCTAGCCGCATCAAAAAATACGTTGCCACATCAAAATCCAAGATGGCCATTACCATAAGAAAACAGGCCACCCCAATCATTTGAGGAAACTATGCTTTATAGTTCTTACATTGCTTAAAAGTATAGTTTCCTCAAATGATTGGGGTGGCCGAAGAATAATCTATGGTGATGAACAAGGCCACCATTGGCCACCCTCTGGCTCCACCATTGTACCTGGTGGAGGATAAAATTTCTCCCTGCACTCACCAGGATCCATCACTCTGCACAGACTCAGACAAAAGAAAAGAAAGTAAAAGAAAAACGACCTCTCTCCTGCACAGTGTAACTCCTACACACTCAAATATCTTGCACCAAAAACATTGTTTACTTGCATTCTCAGTTCAAATCAGTTCAGAAAACCACTCATGTCAAAAACTACAAATACTTACTATTCAAATCCCTTCGTGATGGGGGACATTGGTGCACTGCTTGTTTTTAGAGAACTTTGGTTTTGACAGTTGAATAATATGACATGCATCAAAGATTCACAAATGTTGTTTTTTATCAGTCAGCGCCAGACTTTAGAAACCAGGGCAGCCAATGGCCATTATAATGTTTGATGTCTATTTTTCTATTGTTTCGTGTAGTGCATGCATGAAAGTACAACGGAGTATTAGGGCCACGCTAAGGAAAAAAAATTACCATACATTAGGAGACAAAAGTTATAAATTTACAAGAATGCTCATAATATTATGAGAATAAGTCATAATATTATGAGAATAAAGTCATAATATTATGAGAATAAGTCATAATATTATGAGAATAAAGTCATAATATTATGAGAATAAAGTCGTAATATTATGAGATTGAAGTTGTAATATTATGAGATATTAGAAAAGAAGCAACATCTTCCAAATCTGTGTGGTTCTTTCTTTGAAACAGACATATTTCTTTGCACAATTGTTTCAAAGTCCTGATACTGATAATCTGATGCTGATGTGCTCACAGATTAAGTATTTCTTTATTTGTAAAAACAAAGTATAACTTAACAAGATCTAAAAAAGTTATGTCTGGTCCTCTGGACATAAAAAAAAAAAAAAAAAAAATTTTTGTTTTGTTTTTTGAATGTCCAGAGGACCAGACTTAACTTTTTTAGATTTTTCTACCTGGATTATTGAGCATGCATCAGGAACTTAACAAGATGCTCAACAGTCATCATTTTACTGCAGTTGTAAGACTGCTTTTTCGTGTCGGAGTTCTGGTAATATTATGACTTTATTCTGGTAATATTATGACTTTATTGTCGTACAACTTTATTCTCGTAATATTATGACTTTATTATCATACAACTTTATTCTGGTAATATTACAACTTTAGTCTTGTATGACTTTATTTTCATAATATTATGAGTTTATTCTGGTAATATTGTGACTTTATTGTTGTACGACTTCATTCTCGTAATACTACGACTTTATTTTCATAATGTATATATATTTTTTCTTAGCATTGCCCTAATACTCCGTCGTATGAAAGTCAATAATAGTAACGCAACAAAAGTTTTAATTCTAGCCTAGTTGTTTGTTGGCCTTTGTCACCAACTGAACCTCTGAGTGTGAACTCTGCTGCAGTCAGAGCAACTTGATCTCAGGTCTAACCCTCACCCGCCTCCTCAAGAGTTCAGCTGTATCAAAAGCAGAGCTGATAATATGAAAAATAATCAAGTCTAAATTCTGGAGTAATTAAGCCCCAGGGTGTGATTCAGTTCAACCTGCAGCTGATTGAAAGATCTTTACTGTAAATGCAGTTCCAGAAGTTCTCCACATTTCAAATCAAAGCACTTAAAGGCATCTGAGGACAAAGAAAGTCTTCTCATCCTAACTCAGAATTACACTGTCATTCTTCTGCTGTTTTAAATGTGCTTTATAAATAAAGCTGACTTGACTTCTAAAAGTTAGCATATATTAGGGTCAATCATTTTCTAAATCCTTTGGCATCTGCCAACTTGTTTTTTTGTTTTGTTTGTTTTTCCTCAGCACATCAGTGGTATATCTTTGATTGGCAGTGACCTGGTCCTGCATGTTTAACACTTGTTTAACTGTCTGTGCTGTCCACCAATGTGCATGTCTGTTAATCAGCTCAAGCGTAGCTAATGCTGATTAATAATATTAAAAGGGAAAGGTCAAAAGCATCCAAATTAATCAGCAGACCCATTACTACACATAATGTTGGTGGGTAAAATGGTATTTTAGAACAAAATTCATGTTTTTGTCTTTAAAACTTGAAGTCGTTGTCCACAAGAGTCCAATAATACTAATTCATTATTAATGATCTTAAGTGTTATGGTTGTACACATGTAAGTGTTTGCGTAGTTCATCTAAAAAGCAGAATTTAAGTAGCTGAACTAAACAACATGCATTTCAAAAGTATTATCAAGTCATATGATGTTAGTGTGCAGAGTGCATGGAGCTAAAAGACTGATTCCCAGTTACATAACTGGTGAATTTCTTCTTAAACGTGTTTGATTACATTATTTACTTTCTTGTGTTTGACTTTAACAACACAAACGTTTTATTTTCAAATTTTTAGTGGAATAGTCATGATGTTGAATTCAGGCAGCTTAATCTTGCAATAAGTTATGTCGTAAACATTTAACGTCTTTGAACATATCAACGGTTTTTGCAGAAAAGGAATATGGTAACATTTTTTAAAGTTGGACTCATTTACTTGTAAGGGTAAATATATCCCAGCTTTTGGACACTTCCGTGCATTGTTACATATTTAAACTAATTGTTTTTTTAACTAAAACAAAATCCTAATAAGAAAAATTCTAGTGCTGAGACGTTTCAACATTACGTTTGTACCATATCCCTTTTCTCTTTGAACCATTTCTACAACTTACTTGACGTGAACACCATCTGCACTGTTGAAAAACATAATTTTATGTTTCAATGTGTTTGTTTTAATCTGTATATCATAATTATTTCTTAGAGTAGTATATATTTCAGTGCACAAAATGTTTTTTTTTTATTGTTTTTTTTTTATTGGAGGTACCACTATAGCTGTAAGTCTACCATCTGCTGTCATGTCAGGTTGTCAGTCATCTAATTTGAGAAATTGTTTTATAGTTATAATTGTTATTTTTATGATTTTTATACAAACTTGTGAATGCTGGAATAACTGTTACACTTTAATTGCTGCTTGTTTTGTGATAAAAGCCCACATAATAAAATAAATTACTTGTTTGTTTGTTTGCTTTGTTCTTTATGTATGAATAATAAATTGATTTCTTATGTTTGGACAGAAAACATGACAAGAAGCAAGAACGGCAGCACCCTGAAAATAACTGACCCCTAATGGACAAAACCCGTTTTTTTATTTGATTATTTTTTGGAGGAAAAAGATCCCTACCTTATCCTTTGCCAGTTATTTGGGGGGTGGGGGTGGGGTGTAAAATGCTTTC